TTTTTCTTTACTTAATTTTTAAAAATTATCTGTAGCAAGATACTTAGTAACTAGAGAAGGGTCATTCAAGTAAAATGATATTATTGGGTTGGCAAAAAAGTTCATTTGGATTTTTCCATAAGATGGCATGGAAAAACCCAAACAAACTTTTGGACAGCCCAATATATAGCTGTTTCAGTGAAAGCTTTTTATATTAGTTTCAAATCCAATAATTAATTGAACTAGATGAAATTGCTTTTCTTTTTCAAATAAAACAAAGGTTGAATAGCAGCAGTTTCATGTGGTTCAATCTAAACTGTCTAATAAAATACAGACCTTAGATGTGATAGTCTGGAGAATGGTGTCATTGTGTAGACAGGCTAGACTCAAAGTCAAGAGAGTGTAAACCATTTTTGATTGCTAGTTTCACCCCATAACCACTGCATGTACTGTTTTCCAAGGACCATTCTTTACTGGGCCTACTGGTTGAAGATATTTGTGTGTTAACCTAGTTTTTAGGAGCACACTGATTTGGATGTAATGGATAAGAGAAATAACACTATTTATTTCTTTTCTTCCTTGTGGGTACACTTCACACATCTCTGTATTGTAATTCCCTCAGCATATGACTGCAGTCATGAAATTAAAAGATGCTTGCTCCTTGGAAGAAAAGCTATGACAAACCTAGACAGCATATTAAAAAGTAGAGACATTACTTTGCCCACAAAGGTCTGTAATAGTCAAAGCTATGTTTTTTCCAGTAATCATGTATGGATATGAGAGCTGGATCATAAAGAAGACTGAGTACCAAAGAATTGATGCTTTCGAACTATGGTGTTGGAGAAGACTCTTGAGAGTTCCTTGGACTGCGAGGAGATCCAACCAGTCCATCCTAGAGGAAATCAGTCCTGAGTGTTCATTGGGAGGACTGATGCTGAAGCTGAAACTGCAATACTTTGGCCACCTGATGGGAAGAGCTGACTCATTGGAAAAGACCCTGATGCTGGAAAAGATTGAAAGCAGGAGGAGAAGGGGATGCCAGAGAATGAGATGGTTGGATGGCATCACCAACTCAATGGACATGAGTTTGGGCAAACTCTGGGAGATGGTGAAGGACAGAGAAAACTGTGCTGCAGTCCATGGGGTCAAAAAGAGTCAGACAAGATGGAGTGACAGAACAACGACATGCCTTTTTCTCTCTTTTAGATTGTTACATACTCTGAAGGTAGAGATCCTCATCCTACTGGTATTTATGGACTGTTTGAGGAAACATTATTCAGCATATCACACAGTGTTTTCCTCTAAAGACTCATAAGAGAAGTTTCCCTTGGGCAAATGGCTTGTTTTTTATTTTAGGAACACAGTGTAATGTATGTCAGATTGTATTTCCCCCTGTTTGTACTGGCTGCGAGGAAGATCAGAGCCACACTTGTGCCGTAGTTTTAAGTAGTTTCTTCTCGAAATCTCTGCTTAGAAGTCTTGTTGTCTTGGAACTAGTTTCTTATTGCTGCTATAACAGTTACCATATACTTAATGACTTAAAGCAACACAAATTTATTATCTTACAGTTCTGGAGGTCAGGAGTCTTAAATCAGCTTCACTAGACTAAAATCCAGGTATTGGTGAGAGTTCTTTCTGGAGGCTGTTGGGGAGAATCCATTTCCTTATCTTTTTACAACTGCTTGGCTTGTGACCCCCTTCCTCCATTTTCAAAGCCAGCAGTGCAGTAAGATACTCTTCTCTCTGACCTCTGCTTCTGTGCCTACATCTTTTTTCTCTGACTCTGATCCTTTTGTCTCCTTCTTATGAAGACCCTTGTGATTACCTTGAGCCCACCTAGATAAGCCAGGATAATCTCCCCATCTCAAAGTTTTAACTGAGTCATATCTACAAAGCCTTGTCTCTCCACCAACTAGTTTTAGTTTTTAGAACAGTATTAGGCTTATAGGAATACTGAGCAGAAAGTACTGAGATTTCCCATATACTTTATACATGCATAGCTTCCCCAACTGTCAGCATTCTGGACCAGAGTCACACTGATGAACCTGTGCTGACAAATCATTATCACCCAAAGTTCATCATTTACATTCTGGTATTGTACCCTTTTGGTGATGTATGTCCTGTGGGTTTGGATAAGTATATAATGACAGGTGTTAATTACTATGAAATCATACAGAGTGTTTTCACTGCTTTAAAATTCCTCTATGTTCTGCCTATTCATCCCTCTTTCTCCCAGTCCCTGGTGACAACTGTTCTTTTTATTGTCTCCATAGTTTTGTGTTTTTCAGAATGTCATATAGTTGGAATTACACAATATGTAGCCTTTTGACATTGGCTTTTTTCACTTGACAATATACATTTAAATCTCCTCCATGCATTTTCATGGCTTGGCAGTGCATTTCTTTTTAGCACTGAATAATTATTGTTGGAATGTACCATTTATTAACCCTTTCAACTATAGAACAACTTCTTGGTTGCTTCCAAGTTTTTTTCAATTATAAACAAAGCTTCTGTTAACATCTGTGTGCAGGTTTTTTTGTGGACACAAGTTTTCAACTTATTTGAGTAGCACCATGGATTGTTAGATCGTGTGGTAAAAGTATGTCCAGTTTTGTAAGCAACCATCAAACTGTCTTCTGAAGTGGCCGTATCATTTTGCATACCCACCAGCAATGAATGAGAACTATTGTTCAGCCAGCTCATTAGCATTTGATGTTGTCAGTGTTTTGTTCATGCTAATGGGCACATAATGGTAACTTGTAATTGGTTTAACCTGCTTTTCCCTGATGACATACAATGTTGAGCAGCAAAATTCTTTTTTATCATATGTGAGGTACAACTTTCACAGGTTCTGGGGGTTAGGGCATGGACAGATTATTCAGACTATCACAATGTTCTCAATATTAATTACGTGAAAATGAAAATTTTGATTCCTCAAACTAAAGCCATACCTCCGTAGACTCCTCTCCCTGCATCCTTCCCCATCTCAGTAAAAGGCCCTCTTACCTACTAACCATTCACCACAGACTCTTGATTCCTCACTCTCTCCCTCACCCCACATCCAGTCCCTCTGAGGTTCTGCCGTACCTGCTTCTAAGATGAATCTAGAGTCCAATCACCTGTCTCTGTGGCCGCTGCCACCACCCTAGGATAAGCCACCACCATCTCTTGCCTGAACCACTATAACACCCCTCTAATTTTTCTCTTTTCTTCAGTTCTTGACTTTTACTGCTCTATTCTCTATAATTTGTCCAGATTAAAAGAAAGCACAAAGCAAAACATACTATCTTCCTGCTTTAATACACACTAATAGTTTTGTATCTCATGTGGAATAAAATCCAAATTCCTTTTTAAGGTTTATAAGGCCCCTCTTANTCCAAGGAACTCTCAAGAGTCTTCTCCAACACCATAGTTCGAAAGCATCAATTCTTTGGTACTCAGCCTTCTTTATGATCCAGCTCTCATATCCATACATGATTACTGGAAAAAACATAGCTTTGACTATTACAGACCTTTGTGGGCAAAGTAATGTCTCTGCTTTTTAATATGCTGTCTAGGTTGGTCACAACTTTTCTTCCAAGGGGCAACAGTCTCATTTGCTTATATTATTCATCTTCTCTTCCAGATTTTTAATTCCATGAAGGGAGGGCCATTTCTGTCTCATTCATTGTTGGATGTAAGTCTTCATCAGTATCTGGCACTTAGTAGGCACTGCATACTGTTTGTATACCATCCTTACTCTGACTTTACCTTATGTTTTTGCTTTTATTTTTCTTTTGTTTTTCTTTTCTACCGCATTCTGTTGTAGCAAGAGGAAAACTCCCAAGTCCCAGGATCTACTCGGAATTGGGGAGGTGGAGCTGTCTCTGCCCTCCCCATGTTTGCTGTGTGTACTGTGTGTCATGGGTAAAAGAGATGTTTTCTACTAGTAGTATCTCCCCAGGGAAAGTGGGGGTTCACCTCAGAATGCCAGATAGGCCACAAACCATTGAGGGGAAAAGCCAGAGTGCCTTTCTGGATTTAAGATGTCAATTGCACAATAAAGTAAAAAGCTGATTTTTCAATCACTGGGGACAGAGTGCTTCCATAGATTAATATGGTGCTAGAAGGATTTTTTCTCCTTCTGGCTAGGATTGGAAATGAGAAATATTTGGGCTGTGGATACTAGGGAGGAGGAGCATGGTTCCGAGCTCTTCTGCTTGTGGGAGGCAATGAGGAACCTTGAGATGAGCAGGAGACCACACCTTGAGAGGTCTGTAGGATCCTTCAGGTGAGAGATGGCCAGTGGGGGATATCCTGGGAGAATGAAGCCCTTAGCTCTTTTCTCCTGATCTCTGACCCTTGAGTGGATGGCACACAGATCATCTTCCTTCCTTCTGTGGTACAGCTGTCATATTCCTTGGCACAATGCCCTTGGCCTTCCATATATTCTATTCTGTTCAGAGCTAGTGGTTAGCTCAGGGATTTAGGTTCTCAACTGTGTCAGGAAATCCTGTATTGGCATCAAGGTTTTTGATCTTTCTTTTTCCCTATAGATACCACAAGCCATGATTTATACACAAATGTGATTTGCCTGATTGTTACAGTCTGGGCCCAGAACAATTTTAATTAACTGGAAAATGGTCCTCAATACACCGATTAGACCTCTTCAGGTACGGCAAGATAAAAGCCTGATAATTTGGATGGAGTACTCTTCTTAAATATCTACTCTATACACGGCAGCCAATGGGAAAGCCAGGCTTTCTCCCACCTGATCCAGTGAGTAATTAAGAGAGGGCTTTTTCTTCCCCACCTCTCCCCTCCCACCCACCCCCAACTAAAGCTTAACAGGTTGGTGGTATAATTTGTAGACTTTCAGGGTGTCATGCTAGGAGCTTAGGCAAGAGACTAGGCGTTTCTTCCCCAGCTTCCCAGGCACTGTCCAGCTGGATTTGAAAAGCAGGCGAGTGACAGGAGGAAAGAGGTGGAAGCCGGCAAAGTAGCTACTGTTTCTCAGCAAAGTTTGAGAGGGGCCTGTGGCCATGAGTGAGTTGGACACTCAGAAGACCTGTGATGGAACTGTTTCTCGTCTGCTCAATGTGGTGGAAAGTGAGCTTCAGGCAGGGAGGGAAAAAGGCGACCCTACAGAGAAGCAGCTTCAGATCATTCTGGAGGATGCCCCTCTCTGGCAGAGGTTCAAGGAAGTCACCAACGAAATGATCGTGACCAAGAACGGCAGGTGAGATTCTCTGTGGCTCTACTTGGGCTGGCGGGGCTTGGCAAGGGAGGCAAGGCCCCTTGAACATAGACGAGGCTGCAGCTCCTCACTCAGAGCTGGCGGGGTCTGATTAAACGCTCCTGAGGACAGTCTCCTACGGCTTCCCCCAGCCAACTTAATTAATTTCTCTGAGATCGTCAGAGAAGTGGAGGACGAAGCCACCTGTTCTGCCTGCAGTTTAAATGAAGAAATTCTTTGAAATTACTGTAAAGGGGGGCATGTCCCATGGGTTTGGGAAATGCACTCAAATTTCAGAAAATAATGTTAATTTTTGACTGACTGTACATCCTGGAGCAGATTACTATTCTTTGAACTCCAATTCCATTCAGATACGATAAAATAAAAGGCAACTTTATCTGGAAGCTGGGTGATTTTGTCTGAAGTATAGCAAACTTGCGAGACATTTCTGACAAGCTGAAGATTCAGAGGCTAAAAGGCAAATTTAATCTCACTACCTATTTCTACACTTGCTTCTTCCTGTGTGTTTGTGGTGAGTGTTCATTTGAAATTGTGTGTGTTTGTGACAGTATGAAACCATTGCAGTAATAGTTAAAGTAACCATAATATACTGACTGAGAGAAGAGAAGATGCAGCCAGTGTTTTCATTGCAACAATTAGGGATTAAATGAAATGGCTCTCTGTTGGCATTTCTTGGATTATATTAAATCTATTTCTGCCAAGTGACTGTGTAAGGTAATATTAGGAGTTTCTGTTTAGTAATGGAGATAAAAATATTTAGAAAGAAAGTATCATTGCTCCCAAGCTTGGTCAAACAGCTCCCAATATTAATGTGATACTGATCTTTCTGTTCACATGGTCAAAAAAGTACAAAATGTTGAAAGGTATTTTTGATATGGTTAGTTTCAGCACAATCTCAAAGATTGTGACCTTTGAGAGAAATTCTGCTTTCCAATGAGGGAAAAGTCCAAGCTAGCTGAAATTCTGGCAGGCTTTTGTCCTTGTGAAAAACATTTTCGTTTCTGACTTCTCACTTTTCCATTTCTGAATAAAATGCATGGCATAGAGAATGAACCATTCTATCTGGGAAAATTATGAATTTGAGTGTTGTTGTGTGACATTATAGTGCTTCATGAAGAAAAAAGGTTCTATAGATAAGGGCCTTTCAATAAATTGTGATTACTAATAGTAGCAGGAATATCAATCTTGCTTGATGCTTATATTTTCTCTCTCTAAATGGGTCCCGTATTTATTTCATATATAGAATTTGTTATTTTTAATAATTATAATTGTAATTTTACCTATTCTTACTCTTGATCTGTATTGACACATTATATTCTGTAAGAAGAAATAGAAAACATGTTTGTATTTTCAAAGAATTATCCTCAATTCCTGAAACTGGATATACTTTCTTTCCTTTTGAAGATGAGTGATGATATAGTTGTAAAAGTTTTATGATGTCCGATGACAGGTAGACCTTTCTGTTTATTATTCTTTTAGTTACACTAATACTTAGCCTCATACTATTTATTTGGCTGTCAAAGTGGTCATATATAATAGTAAAATAAGTATAATCATCAAGTAAAAAATATAGTCCACATATTTGAATGAGGGATAAATAAAAATTTTGAAAGCCATTATAAAATTCAACTTAATAATATGTCATATTGATATGTTCTTTTACAATTTTAGAAGAACTTTCTCTTGTCTTTTTGCACCTAAATAATTTTCTTCATATTTAAAGTTGAAAAGTCTTCACATATTTAAACTCATTAACTATGTGAAAATTATTCTCTGTAGAAAAAGTCTAATTATGGTCAATGTGATTCTTCTTATTTTCTGTGGAGGTCCTGCTGACATTTTTACCTTCTCAGTGAAGTTAAATCTTTTCTTAGGATCTCTGAACCCCTCCTGGTCAAGATTTTGCCAGGAGATAGTTTCCTTTGTATTTCAGATAAAGAAGGGAAGACAAATCTCTAAGAAATGAATGCAGTTGGTAATGAGTGAGTGTGATCTGGAATTACTCTCAGTCTGTTTAGTTTCTCAGAATCAACTGTTAACAACACTTTCCTGCTCTTGATATAGGTACATCTTTCTTGTTTTGCTGTCTTCTTTATTCTCCTCTTCATCTCTCTTTTCCCTCTTTTTTTCTCCTAACCATCTATCCCTGTATCACTCCTTTTGACCCATTTTCCTCTGTCAGTAGACTCACAATGTCTCCTCCAGATGCCCAATCCTTACCTTTCATACCAACTCCTGAGCCTAAGGCAGATGGAACTGTGGCCCTTCTCTGGAAAGAACATTCCTGGTAGTTAATACCCAGTCTTGGCCCTTTTCATTCATGTTACCCTCCTGCCCCTATAGTCAGTTAACTTTCTGACTTTTCTAAATCTTCAATGGGGTTAATCAGATCTCCTGTACACTTGAGCATAATTGTCCCGTGTAATAGCAAGTTTTAAAATAGCATAGATGGCACTTCCCTGATAAAGAAAAAAAAAAAAAAATAGCATAGATGGGATGATGAATTAAAAGACTCATTTTCAAATGGACATCTATTTATATGCATAACTAGGAGGCTTGCTCCTGACATTGATCAGAAGTAATAGAGATTTTCCCTGAAAAACAGTGAACTATCCACAGAAACGGGGATTGTGATGGTTCTTCATTCCTTCCTCTCCTGTCCCTTCCTCGTGCTGTTTTACTGTTTACTCTTCTCTCTTTTCACCCCCTCCTTTTTTATTGAAAATGTTTAGTTATTGATATTCAATAGCCTTTCAGACATAACAATAACAATTATAATACCTCCTTAGAGTTCATTTGAATCATCTCTAGTGCATCAGCTTGTAAATACTTCCTTTCATCTCTATCCTTTAAGGTAGGAACTTGCGTTTTAGGTTGCACAAAAAGATTTATTTCAGATTTCAGTGGTAAATAAGTGAAGTCTCTTGTAACTTTTGTTTTCTCTACAGTAACATATTTGCCTTAGGGGGAAAAGCTATATTTTATGTGTATTTCCATGCAGTTGAATAATTTTATTTCATTCAGATTAAATTTGCCTTGAGAAGATTTTAATAAATTGGAAGAATTTCTGATGTAATTGGTGTATCCATTTGTTATCATAAAATGTTAGGATCACTAAGTTGAACTTCCCAGTGATTTAGAGATGTTGGTACGGTGAGCTAATGCTCCTAGTGGGAGGCAACGAGGGCCCCAAAGTCACAGTGGTGCAAGAGGAGAGAAAACCGATGTTGCACATCAGGAAAAAATTTTCCATGTCCCTGTAGTCTATGGAGATTTTTCTCTGAAGTTTACAATTGCAGTTCATGAGGAGCATATGCTTTTGTGTGATCTGCCTCTAACCAGGCTACCTTGGTTACTTGCTCCTCGTCTTATCTTCACATAAGTCTAAACATCCATGCCCCACGTGCCTGCATACACACACTCCAAAACCCTGATGAATGCTTCATGATTATTAAAATTCTGTGGGGGAAAAGAGAGGGAGTTTACTTCCTGAATTTTGCCTTTAACCACCTCTGCTGTTTCCCCACCTAAAAAATCTGCCTTGTTTGCCCTCTTCCTATAGACCTCAGTCCTCACAGCATCTTTCAGCAGTGCTGGCTCTCAAGATCTCCTGTAAGAGAAATAAAAACTGAGAAACTAGCCTCACAGCTAAACAATACAGAGTTCACGGCCAAGCCTAAGCATGTGTGGCTCTTCAAGCACAGTTTTGGGCAGTGTTTCTATCGCCTATTACATTTGCTTCTCTCTCTGATACAGGGATTGGTTCACAGCCACAGAGATGGAAGAAAAGGGAGAAAAGATCAAAGAAGTGCAGCTTATCCCTGAAAACAGTCTGGTCATGAGCGTTGCCCACAAGTAAAGAGATATCACATCCCAGTCCTTGTGAGGCTGGAGAAAGAAGCAGAGGAGAAGCAGGAGGTGTTGAACTGGGCTTGGAGGCAGGGTGGCTTCAAGTGCTAGTTATAAGACCTTGGGCAAGTTGACATTTATTTACATTGGTGACATTTATGACATCATTGGTATAAAGAAGATAAAAATACATAGAATCTCAGTTCATTTGTGTAGTGATAAGAAAAGAAAAATAATGATATATTTTTCGGCAGTTGATTTTTTGGGCTTTAAGGCACCAATTGTTCTTCCCTTTTTTTCCTTTTTTTTTTTTAGGACCTGGGTTGTTTTTTTCTTTTTTTCTTTTTTTTTTTTTTCTTTTTTTTGTTAACAGCTTTATTGTGATAATTTATATACCGTACAATCCAAAAAACTCGTTGAAAGTATACCATAATGTCTTCATGGTTTATCTGTGTTGTAGCATTTTTATTGACAAATAATATTTCACTGCATAAATAGACTTCATTTTATTTATTCAATCATCAATGGACATGTGGGTTGTTTCCAATTTTCAACTGTAATGAATAATGCCATTATGAATGTCTGTATATAAGTTTTTACGTGGGTGTATGTTTTCGTTACTCATACATATAACACCTAGGCATGGAATTGCAGGGTCATATGGTAACTCTGTATTTTAACTTGTTAGAGGAATTGCAAGACTCACTTTTGGCTGGTCCATTGTATATTCCACCAGCAATGTATGAGTATTTCAATTTCTCCACATCCTCACCTATGCTTGCTGTTGTTCACCTTTTATTATTATTATTATAGTCATCTAGTGAGTGTGAGGAATGATTTCAAATGTAGGTTATGGTTCAGTTTGTTAGGTGTCAACTCCCGCTCTTCCTGAATATATGGACTTAAGTTGGTTTACTTAAACTCACCAAGCTTCAGTTTATTATCTGACTCACCCAGCCTCTAGTACTCAAAGGTACTATCTATTAAATGCTTGCCAAGAGCCATACTGGGGTATAAACCTGGTTGGTGTAAACTCCCCCAGGTTCTTTGTATTCTGCCATGAGTTTTGAAGTGGTCACTAAGGCAGGGCATTTAGAAAAGAGGGGGTGCTGAAAACAGATCCCCGTTATTCATACACAGCTGGAGGACTAAGTTGGAAGAGGAGCAAAGGAGTAGGAAGTATTGATTAGGTGGATGAGGCCAAGGGGAAAAATATCCTGTCTGTCTAGAGTATTCAGGGAGGCCATGTAATTTAAGCTCAGAAGACTGAGGAGCCTGGATGGCATAAGTCCATCTCTAGATCCAGCCCTTGTTATCTGTTGGTCAATTTCTTCCCTTTCCATATGCTGCAGTTCTTATTGTTCCTCATTTCAAAACTAGGCTCTACTGGGACCCTCCAGTCCCTCACCTATACCCATTATGCTGTTAATATTTCCATACCTGGCATCCTTGGACTCCTTCTTTTAGCAGTGGACATACTCAGTTTTCCCCTTTTTATTCTCTTCCCAACCTTTATAGAAGCACAAATCCTCCAAGTGTCTCCCCTTACTCCCTTGGATGTCTCCCCAGTTGCTACCTTAAAAGCTAGATGCCCTAGACCAGTACACTTTAAGCTTTAAAGTTGTGGTCACTTAACTGGGGATTTTGAAAAGCACAGATTTTGATTGTGTATGTCTGGAGTTAGGTCTGAGCTGCTGCATTTCCGATTACTGCTGCTGCTGAGTCATGAACCACTCTGAGTAGCAAGTGTTTGGACCCTAGTTTGTTAGCTTCTCAACTTGGGGACTCAGATTTTTGAAGATGTATTGACAAATAAGACAGCTTCTGGGGCAATCGGGAGGTGGTAGGGGCGTCTGTATGGAAACTAGGTCTTTTGAGGAGATTGGAGCAACTTAGCTTGGTGAGAGAAAAATAAGCTAAAGAGAATCAGAAGCCAGGTGAGCTAGCTTCTCCAAATATCTGTGAGTGAGCTTGCTGGTATTTTCTCAGAGCGTAGGGGCTGCTGCTGCAGCCGTTTGGTCTCTACGTCGTGTCCGACTCTTCTGGGGCCCCGTGGACTGTAGCCAGTTAGGCTCCTCTGGCCATGGGATTTCCCGGGCAAGAATATTGCAGTAGGTTGCCATTTTCTTCTCCAGGGGATCTTCCCAACCCAGGGATCAAACCCACGTCTCCCGCATTGGCAGGCAGATTCTTTACCACCAAACCACCTGGGAATCCCGCAGAGGGTGGGAGAAGGACCAACAAAACCAGATCATCATGTCTCAAAGTATACATCTTCCTTTAAAAAAAATATTATTTATCTTTGGCTGCACTGGGTCTTCGTTGCTGCAGGCAGATTTTCTCTAGTTGTGGTGAGTTGGGGCTACTCTCTAGTTGTGGTTTGAGGGCTCTATAGCATTCAGGCTTCAGTAGTTGTGGCTCATGGGCCTAGTTGCCCTATGGCATGTGGAATCTTCCCAGACCAGGGGTTGAACCCATGTCACCTGCATTGACAGGCAGATTCTTAACCACTGGACCACCAGGGAAGTCCTCAAAGTGTACTTATTGAACACAAATTCCCACAAGATGCTCAATGAGAAGATGGTTGCACAGGTACACAAGTGCAGATTGTGGAATCCCTCACTCCTTCTCAAAGTGCTCACAGGTGAATTAAAGCCTCTGACAAGTCCTGCAGGAAAGGAACTGGTCTAAATACGTAGAGTCAAGGGTCCCTTCACTGCCTTTACCACAAACCATGTTTTCTGTATTAACACTGTTACTATTATTTAGAACTGTTTTGTGATACAGAGAAGGCTTGCTCTGTGGCAATAGTGTGAAAATCTGATGTATGCTGGGAGAAAACCTTTGAAGGAAGCTCTGTGAGAACCTGGCACCTGTCTGTATACAATACCTCAAGTTTCAGGAGGAATTTCATTCTAGTCAAATGACTAGATCAGTGATTTTCAGACATTAAAACAGCACAACATTTAAAAGTAAAACTTCAATATAAAATACATCGGTAAAAAGAGGCTTGGCTGACTTCGAAGCTGCCGGCCCGGCCCCTCTGTGTTTGGCTTCCCCCTGTGAGCAGAACCCTCCAAGGACAGTCTCCTCTGAGCAGAGAGAGGACTGGACAGCTGGAGAGATGTTCCTAACATTCTAATATCCTTCTTGTGGCTCAATTTCTGCCTTTTCTTTTAGACGGATGTTCCCTGTCCTAAAGATTAGCATCACAGGGCTGGACCCCAATGCCATGTACTCACTTCTTCTGGACTTTGTCCCAATGGACAGTCATCGCTGGAAGTACGTCAATGGAGAATGGGTGCCTGCAGGCAAGCCAGAGGTCTCCAGCCACAGCTGTGTCTACATCCACCCAGACTCCCCCAACTTCGGTGCCCACTGGATGAAGGCCCCCATCTCCTTCAGCAAAGTGAAGCTGACCAATAAGCTCAACGGAGGTGGGCAGGTATGCTCGGTAGCCTGGCCACCCAGCTGCCCCACAACACCCATCAAGAAATATCAGGGGTGCATTTAGGCAATTAGGAGGTCCTCACCGACCTCTTCTCTCAGGGAAGCCAATTATTCCCCGGAGTCCAAATGTGAACAGGAATAAACAGCTCTTAATTGGTGCTTTCAGTTTTTAATGGACTTCCTGATGTTAAGAGAGAGTGAGAGAGTGCAGTAGTTTACTTAATCATCAGGGGCCTTTCAGAGTTTTGCCTTGTGTGTGGTGCTTTTTACCAAGCCTGGGAGGAGGGAGATGTTTGTGGGTACCAGGGTTTTGTTATTCCCTCTCCCTTTTTTTTGGTGTAAGTGGCATCTTAATAAAAAGCTGCTCCTAAATGAAATAATTGCTCCCTCCACTTGGGCATTATGATAATTATCAATAGAATATTGAATCAGCTTTGGGTTTTCAGAAAAAGAATCCAAACAAACCTTAAATAAGGAGGGTTTTATTTAAGGTTTCCAATTAGAGTAAACAAGATTTTGAGGCTTTTTACTCTTTTGTTTTCTCTGGCAGGATTGTGCATACTAGTGCACTGTGCAAGGTTGTTATTTGCTTTATAAAATGTAGACTGTTTGGGGGGATTACACCCAGTCGGGAGGAAGAGGTCTTATCCCCCCAGATTTCACTTTGGTCAGTCTCATAGCCCTTAGACTTTTCACGCCTTCTCTGTTCTCTGTGCTTATCCAGCCGGGATGTAGGGGTTCTTGTTTTAAGAATGGTAAGTCATCTTCCTAAGTCTCTGCAATATTTGGAAGTTTCCAGTTCTTTATTGAATCAGGAAATTGAAAAGTAAACTATTATTCCCTCCCAGTTTTCACAACAGGAGACTTTCAATAAGCCTTTGATTTGAATCACAAAGAGTGAATGTTATATAACCAGCAGATGTCAGCTAGCATTACTTTTTAGGTAATTCAGCCCTTTGTCGGGATTTTGTGATAATTAGGATTTCTTACTAGGGGGCTTCCCTGGTGGCTCAGATGGTAAAGAATCTGCCTGCAATTCAGAAGATCCAGGTTTGATCCCTGGATCAGGAAGATCCCCTGGAGAAGGGAATGGCAACCCTTTCCAGTATTATTGCCTGGAGAATTCCATGGACAGAGGAGTTTGGTGGGCTAGATTGGTTGCAAAGATTCAGACATGACTACTAACACTAACACACTTTCTCATAGGAAAAAAAAATTGTATGTGTAAATGTCACCTGGGGGAGTGTGATGGGACTAGGGGGTGGTGCTTTTATTGTTATGACCAAACTTGGATGAAAGGTAGGTTTTCTAAGGTTCAGATATAGTCAGATACACTCGGTAGAGACCAAGTTAAGCAGTGTGGTAATCAGTTTCCACCTCCTTCTCCCTGCTTGCCAAAGCTTCACCAGTATTTCTTCTCCTGGTGCCAATAAGGCACAGTGGTGCATTGTAATACAACCAGCAGAAATGCAGGAGTCTTTGTTTCCAGGACCTTGACCTGACAGAACTAGACATCTCTCCTGCTCTAAAGCAAGTCTGTGGGGATTGATCCAATCGTGCACCCTCTTTGGGTTTGTGTTATACGATCTGTCCCACTTGTTAGCTCTTTGGGGGCATATGTAGATCTTTTCCTGCCTGGGCCGCTCATGGTTACAGCTGAGTAGCCAGCATCTGGCCTCCGTAAACTCTGTGGGAGCAAAGTTTTTTTGGTTCAACCACACGCTATAGGATTTTCCAGGACTGCTGATCACCAGGACACCAGAACAGTTGGATTCTTTTTGCTTAAACTTTAAAAGATTATTAAAAATTGAAGTATAGTTGATTTAAAATGCTTTTATTTTCTGCCATACAGCAAAAGTGATTCAGTTATACATACATATATATATATATTCTCTTTTTATGTTCTTTTTTAATGGTTTATCTCAGAATATTGAATATAGTTTCCCATGCTATACAGAAGGACCTTGCTGTTTTTCCATTCTATGTATTTAATAGTTTGCATTTAAGCCTAAGCTCCTAGTTCATCCCTCCTCCACCCTTAAAAATTTTTTTAATGGCAATAATGCATGTTTATTAAAAAAAAACTTCACATGATAAACAAATAGTATGGAAGTATATACAATGAAATGAAAAGTTAGAGGTAAAGATTTACTCTTTCCCTCCTGTTCTGTGAGTCCCACATCCCGGAGACACTACAAATAACCGCTGAGGCTGTGTTTCTTCCCACGCATCTTCTGTGCATTTATAAATATGCACAGGGTACAGATTTCCTCACACAAATTGGCTCATGTTCATATTAGTATGAAATTTCTCCCCACCCCCTGTATTTAAGAGTGCATTATGAATATCTTTCTATGTAAATTGGATTCAGATTTATCTCCTTTACTGAAATTATTGCAAAGGATACATTGTATTTCAGGCAATCAGTTTCCCATCTAAATGATGTTTAGGTCATTTCCAGTTGTTTTATTTTCTATGATAAATAATACTGCAAAGAATATTAAGCACTCAGAAATGGAATTGTTGTGTCAAGGAGAGTGTATGTTTAGAACTGTGATAGACAAAGCCCCATTGCCTCCCTCCGAAGAGCATATCCATTTATAATTCCCACACCAATCTCAACACAGTGATTACCTACATTTTCAGCTTTGATAATTCAATAGGGTAGAAAAAATGATATCTTACTATTGCTTTAATTTGCATTTCTTTATTTGGAAGCTTTAGAAGATTGTTAGGCTCCCATCCAGCTAACTGAGTCAGAATTTCCAGGGAGAATACCCAGAATCTAGTTTTAAGAGTCTCCTTAAAGGATTCTGATGATCATCCAGGTTTGGAAACACTGCCTTAGTGCCTACAGATGATGTGCAAGGAAATGTAATTTCTTTTCTATAGTTAATCTGGCCTCTCAGCTGAGCCCTTTAGCAGGTCAGTGGAAAGAAAAATTAACCAAATATCTGAAAATTTAAACAGGCCCTCAAATACTGTCCAGTTTTTATAGGCTGACACATTTTGCCTTTCATACCCTGACACAAATTGCCTTTCATCCCCTTTTACTCTCTGTAGGATGGCCTCTGGATTTATGAAGGAAGAGCGGGCTTTTGCAACTTCGGAAAGCAGGGAAGAGTTGGGGGCCACATCCTGGCCTCCTCTGTTCTCTGGACAATGTCCCTTATCCACTGACATGCTGCCTGCTCTCTTAGTCCATGGCAGGTGGAACCTGTCATCTGGTTGCCCTCACTAAGTGCTCAGAATTTCCTGGACACATGCTGGAGGGTTCCCTCTGAACTAGCAGCAAGGCTAAGGCTATGTTTTTAGCAGGCTACTAGCCTGATGCTGTAATTCTGGTCTTGGACATGTCCCAAGGGAATCAAACCTGGGAAACTCTAACCTCGGAGACTCTGTCTCCTGACAACGTATCCCTGCCAATGTAAATGCATCCTGAGAGTGGGTACAGGGGTCAATGAGTGATCCAAAAATCTTCTTTTATTCAGCAAATATTTATTGAGTATTACTACAGGCTGGATGTTTTCCTACATGCTGGTGATACTGCACTGTACTCAAGGCACTTACATCCCAGTGAGAAGAGATGAAAATGATAAATATGTATTTGGTCAGATGGCTCTGAAGGAAAATGAAGTAGGCTAAGGCCAGGGGAGATAAAGGGTGACAGCAGGTGGAATTGATAGTTTGTGTGTGTGTGTGTAAACATGACCCAAAGGGGAGGTGATTATTTAAGAGGTCAGGGAGTTGATTCTAGTCTGTACTCGAGTCTAGAGACAGGTGTTCATCAGTACACTCTCCTCTGTGTCCCAGTGACTAGAAAAGTAACTGACAGATGGTGGGTGTTCAATTACTGTTGAAAAAAAGTGAACGAATAATAGACTAAATGCTAGATTTAGCGCATCAGGTCTGTGCAATTTCGTTGCTTTGTCCTTTCTTTGCTCATTTTATACTGCATTTGCCATTTTCACCACATGTGACAATAAAACGTTTCTTGTTGGACAGTGCAATAGTGACTTTGTGCAGAAATAAGCAAAGAAACACGGAGAGGGAGAAAAAAGAGAGAGGAGACTTATTCTGATTTTATAGAAATTCAAAGGTGAAGATTAAGTGTTCTGTTCCCCATGCATATTCTACTTTCACTAACACTTCTTGTCTTTGTAAATGTAAGATAACGGCTCTCAAAATCAAGTACAACCCTTTTGCCAAAGCCTTCTTGGATGCTAAGGAAAGGTGAGTAGAGAAATTTCAGGGAAATCTTATGATTTTTGCAAATATGAAGTTTATAATAATCTTGGAAGGAACTAACTAGTGGCATTTGCATTACCTTTGATAGAAACATGTTTTTAATTTTTAATTCAATGTCCAACAAAATCAGCAAGAAAAAACAAATTTATAATTACTTGTCCTTTATAATAGGGGTCCAGGAGAACCTGGGGCTTCCCAGTGGCTCATTGTTAAATAATTCGCCTGCCAATGCAGGAAACGTGATTTGATCCCTGAGTCAGGAAGATCCCCTGGAAAAGGAAATGACAACCGACTTCAGTGTTCTTGCCTGGGAAATCCCATGCACAGAGGACCTTAGTGGACTACAGTCCATGGGGTCACAAGGAGTTGGACATGACTTAGCAGCTAAACAACAGGAGGACCTGGAACTGGCCATGTTTTATCTGCCCTGTTTTATGATAGATTCTTGAAAATAATATAATCACATTAAAAAAACCTAAGTGATTTAAATTTTAAGTAATTCAATCTTCCTTTACGACAGTTATCTGAGTAGTATGATTTCAATAAATTTTTTAAAGCTAGATTTCACCTAGGAAAGGTGAGTAATTCATAAAGGTGAGAGGTTCATGTCTTTCAGAAGTCAGAGACTCCTGGGGGTGTGAATGATTTCCTTTGAAGTGTTTGGATTTTGTTGTTTCTGTTTCAAATCTTTACACTAATTCCTATAAATTTCAAATCTTGCTTTTTCATCATAAAGGCACTAGACTAATGGACAGGTGTTTATAATAACATGTCACAGGGGTCTGTCCTGTCAATATTTGACTTAATTTTGATGATGTAGAAGAAATACTTTTTTCAGATAAGAAAACTCATATAATAAAAATATTTAGGACTTTGAGAGAGAGAGAGCCTGGCTTTGAGTCCTGGCTTTACCATTTCCTGACTTGCATAAGTCAATTTGCTTTTCTGGGGCCCACTTTCTAAATCTGCGAAAGCATGTAGTAATATTCTATCACAGGATAATTGGTGGACCGAGCATATCACAGATGTGACTGTGCCCTGAAGTCCTAGGCAAATCTTGGCTGCTGTAATCATTGCTTGAATTTTGGCAAGCAGAAACACTGACCACAAATCAGTAAGATCAAGCTACATAGGGATAGGTGTAAATAAGGTAAACTGGATTGACTATAAAGTTGCAATTCAAAGAGCAATCGCACAAGAACATAAAGTAGGAGGAGAATGGGGGAAAGATAGTGGTTTGAGGGGAAAAAAGTGTTTGATTTTCTTATTTCAAGAAATTGATTGCTCTCCAAAGACAATCTTGGGTGTACTTGATGCTGGATGTGAATGGCAAGCTGGACAGCTATAGTGCACTTTCATTGCTCTTTCAGGAACCACCTCAAGGATATTCCAGAAGCTATGTCTGAGAGCCAGCATGTGACCTATTCTCACTGTGAGTTGGGTGAACCCTGGATAGGAAGGGCCTGGGGCTACACTAGGAGCATCTCCACCATGCTCAGACTTTTTACCTGTCATGACTGCTTCAGGCTTGTTCCCAATATTCTATCAAGACCCA